TGAAATGCATGATGATAGAGAAAGGTGCAATGCCTAGTCTTATAGACCTGGTGATTGGACCATGCCCATTGTTGAAGGAGATTCCAACTGGAATCGAGCAGCTCAATAACCTAAAGAGACTTGTATTTGAAATGATATTGAAGGAGGTTTATTGCATGATAAAAAATGAGAACTGGGAGAATGTCACTAAACACATTCCACAAGTACATGTCAGCTATAAGCAAACAAATAGGGGAAAATACTCTTTTTACACTAGTAAATATCTGTCATCTCTTTCGGCAGAAGATTTTGAGGAGCTTATTAAACAAATTGAGGCAGAGTTACGAGCAGCCCCATCATAGGATCAACAAGTCAGTCTCCTAAAACAAGTAAGCCTTTTGGATAGTGTGTTTCTCTCACATAAATGTTCTTTACAGGCAAAGATTATTATTTATTTTTTTTTTTTTACTAATTTAATAGTTGGATTAATTCTAATCTGCTAGTAATTGTAATTAATCATCAATTATCTGAATTTTTTTTTTAAATAAATACACAAGTCTAATTATCATAATAAAAATATTCTTATATTTTATTTTATTTAAATTAACTTAATTAATTGATAAAGTTTCGGCTACTGGAATCTGGTACCCGCAACCACAAGTCCGTCACGAGAATTTATTTTGGCAATATTAGGTAACAATATTGGTATCAAAATAATTCGATTTTAACGATCTACCTGTATCTACAATTAATGTTAGCAATATGTGCAACGATTTTTCCAGTTTAAAATTATATAGACAGATAGATCGTTTAGAGACGATCATTTTAATATCAATTTCGTTACCCTAGCATGTCGAAAAAGTCTGCGGTTACCGTAAACTGCCTGTTGCCGCCAGAAACGAAATTATCAATTTTTTTTTTTTACTTTTTTTTTTTTAACTTATTCTATGAATTAATTTAGTTGACTAATGTAAATCTTCTATTGTCATGAACAGATGAAGTATGATGCTGATGAATCCATATTTTCCATTGATCACCTAGGATGACTATGGCTTTTTCTTGTAATAAAGGTTCAGTATTGCTTGTAATTCATGTGTGTAGTTTCGCCAATAATGGTGTAGTATTTGCTTGTTATCAGCATGCAATATCTAATGTCAATGTTTTCTTCTTGTAATTTCCATGTTGTAGGGCAGGGAGTTTTCTTAAACTTTCTGTGTAATATCAACTTTGAAATGTGGTTGTTGTTGTTACTGTTATGGTCATCGTTGTTGTCTGCCTGTAAAAAACATCTTCCCTGTTTTACACTTTTTTCAATGGATTTCGGAAAATTGGAGAACACATTAGCATATCTGGCTTTTTCTAGGAGAACAATAAGGGAAAAATAATACATTACAGAGTGAACTGATATTGTTCTTAATGTTAAATTTAAAGTTAAACTCACCTAAGAAATACTGTTTTAAAGGTTAAATTTGGCCGTCTAAGATCATATCCTAGTGCACCTAAGCTCATTGTATGACAGCCTAAGAGCCCTACGCATAAGCTCATTGTATAACAGTGTAAGAGTCTCTCAAACATAAGCTCATTGTATAACAGTGTAAGAGTCTCTCAAATTTATCCCATCCATATCTTTCATTTATATCAGTCAATAGATGTTACCAGACTTATGCATCTAAATCCATATACATTTTCATTGACAACTGGCAAATCAAAATTAGGTGCCCTGTTTTGCCCTGTTTCCATGGAACATTATCACTAATCAGTCAATTTAAAAAAATAAAAAAATAAAAAAATAAAAATTAAGTTTCCTAGTACTCGAAGAAGCATTTTGATTGCCATGCTTGGATCACAGTTGGGAAAGAATACTTGAAGAAAGATCTACCAATGACAATTATACATGAACTTGTCGTTCAACAGGGTCCGCTCTAATGGGAACAAACAAAATGGAAGAGAAGAATCAGATCATGACTCTGAGAGAGCACTTGTAGGACAAGCGTTACATGATTGTGTTCGATGAAGTGTGGAAAACTGAATTTTGGAGAGATGTAGAGCATGCTTTACTTAATAACAGCAAAAACAATAGTGTAATCCTAACTACTCGGAATAAGGCCATTGCTGATTCCGTATGATTCTCAATTTTTCATATCTACATGCTTGAGCCTTTACCTTCAGAGAAAGCATAGGAACTTTTTTTCAGAAAGATATTTGGCTCTGACGGCAGTACCATCTACTGTTACGGTCATGGTGGTTGTATTTATAAATTTATCTACTCTGTTTGTTTAATAATACTTGAGTTACTAGATAAGGATACCTATAGCTTTCTTAATTGCCAATAAGCTTCAGTTGAAAGGCTTTAAGAGAACACAGCTTTGCGTATAAAAAAGAGGTCCTCTGTTTTACCCTGTTTGCATGGAATATAAAAAGACCTTGCTTCACAATTGTCCTAATTGTCTATGCATTCCTCAACTTTCTTCTCAGAAATAACCAAGAATGCCAGAATTGCGCAATGAAGAAGACAATAAAAATGTGATCAATTTATAGTAATCTGTAATGTAATGTGTGAAATAATTTATGATCAATTTCTTATGTCCTGACTGTCGCGCTAATTCTCTAGTCCTCGCTTTATTTATCCTTTAAAATGTATATAGAGAAGCAAGAAATGCCAAAGAGGAAGAATCTACCTTACCAGTTGCCTCCTCCACCACCCATCACCATCTTCGTCGCCGGGCTGGAAATCCAGTTCCACCATCATCAAGTTTCGGTGATGCTGCCATTTGATTAAACGTTATTAACCAATTAAATAACTTAAAGTGAATATCTCTGTTTTCAGGGCCTCATTCTCAAACTTATAGTACTTCAAGCCCTGCCTAATTTATTGCTCTTGATCTCAAAGAATTGAAAGGGATGAGCAGTTCCATTTCAAGGAAGGTTGGTTTCCAAAACTCGAAGAACTGTATCTCTACAACTACAAAGAATTGAAATTGATTAGGTCCCCTATTAACCCTATTCGCACAAAATATGGAAGACCTTCCATCACCATTATCGTAATTGTCCATGCATTCCTGAACTTCCTTTAAACCCATCTGACATGTTGTCTACTCTTACAAATATGACGAGTCAGATATTACTATTTCTTTAAACCCTATTAAGGATATGAAGCATTGGTTTTGAAGGTTTCTGACAACATCGTATATATCTTGTCTTCAGGTCAGAATCAACTAATATTGCTTGGACAATACAGTGATGAGGAATCAGGTAACTTTGTGGATGAGGAATCAAATGAACAACTTTAACAAGCTGTTGATGATGGGAATCAGGTAACTTTGTGAAATACTGCAACCATTCTTTACTTAAGTTTTAAGGGATCAGAAGTATGATGTCTCTCACATAACCAANACTATGGCTTTTTCTTGTAATAAAGGTTCAGTATTGCTTGTAATTCATGTGTGTAGTTTCGCCAATAATGGTGTAGTATTTGCCTGTTATCAGCATGCAGTATCTAATGTCAATGTTTTCTTCTTGTAATTTCCATGTTGTAGGGCAGGGAGTTTTCTTAAACTTTCTGTGTAATATCAACTTTGAAATGTGGTTGTTGTTGCAACTGTTATGGTCATCGTTGTTGTCTGCCTGTAAAAAACATCTCCCCTGTTTTACCCTTTTTTCAATGGGTTTCGGAAAATTGGAGAACACATTAGCATATCTGTCTTTTTCTAGGAGAACAATAAGGGAAAAATAATATATTACAGAGTGAACTGATATTGTTCTTAATGTTAAATTTAAAGTTAAACTCACCTAAGAAATACTGTTTTAAAGGTTAAATTTGGCCGTCTAAGATCATATCCTAGTGCACATCAGCTCATTGTATGACAGCCTAAGAGCCCTACGCATAAGCTCATTGTATAACAGTGTAAGAGTCTCTCAAACATAAGCTCATTGTATAACAGCGTAAGAGTCTCTCAAATTTATCCCATCCATATCTTTCATTTATATCAGTCAATATATGTTACCAGACTTATGCATCTAAAATTTCAGTTTTTCCAATTCAAAATTGAAAATCTTCATGGTAATTTTTGCCTAATTAACTACTAAATTACTATTTTTTTCTATTGTAATGACTGGAATATTAGTAAACAAGGGAAATTAAATTGTTTGTGCTAGATCTCAATCCATATACATTTTCATTGACAACTGGCAAATAAAAAATTAGGTGCCCTGTTTTGCCCTGTTTCCATGGAACATTATCAATAATCAGTCATTTTAAAAAATAATAAATACCTCTGACATAATTAGATTCTTCAATTAAACTTGGATATAAGTTTATGGCTAAGTAATTTCAGAAAAGGATGCAAACTACGGAAGGGTTTAATGTATTAAATGCAAGAGAGAAAAAAATAAAGCATTATAGCAGCGCTCACCAAATACTACTGGTGGGGGAGGGAGATTTCTCCTTTGCAGCTTGCTTGGCCAATGCTTTTGGCTCTGCTGCCAACATGATTGCCACTTCTCGCGACTCCAGAGGTATAAAGAACCAGAGAGCCTGTTAATTTTTTTTTTTTATAAATGTATATGTTGGACGTATTGATTCTAAAACTTTTGTATCTTCTGATCCTGGAAATACTAGAAATGTTAATGCAAACCAGAGCAAACTTAAACTTGATAGAGCTGAAGGAGCGTGGATGTACAATTGTGCATGGAGTAGATGCCAATACTATGAGCTATCACCCTCTTTTATGTGGCAAATCATTCAATCGAATTGTCGTTAATTATCCTCATGCAGCAAATTAAGTAAGTTAGCTAAACGTAATTATCTAAAAACAACTTCAAAATTTTATTTTAAGGATCAACAAGGTAAATTTATTTAGTCATGGATAACAATGGACATTTTTATTTTTATTTTTCTAAGGATGCATCAAAATCTGGTGAGAGGCTTTCTGAGAAGTGCAAGGAACATGCTGAAGAAGAAAGGGGAAGTTCATGTAACCCATAAAACTTCTAATCCATTTGATAGGTGGGAGATAGAGAAATTAGCGGCGGAAGTAGGGCTGTCTTTGGTTGAAAAAATACGGTTTCACACATGGAATTATCCAGGTTATGGAAATAAGAGAGGGTCTATTGGGAACTGGTATCTCCATTGCTGCACAAATCTTATCTGATATGCCCTCCACAGGCACAGGGTGAGGAACTGAAACCAAAGCATGACACTCAAAATCTTCCTTCAGCTTTTCATGAACTTCCTCAATGAGAGTGGTTTTACCTGAGCCACGATCTCCAAACACTGAAACCACCATCTTCCTCGATTCTCGACTTCTTATGAGATTAATAAGTTCATCTCTACGCTTCTCAATGCCTACTAATTCATAATCCATGACTTTGGGATAACAAACTGCACCAGAACTCCTCGAGGCTCGTTCAGATGGAAGTATGCGGAAACGATCTAATTCTTCTATACCTTTCATCATGACCTTGATAGTCTCCACGCTTGAGAGCAACCGAGAGAGGGGTTTCTTGTCAGTTACAGGGTGAGCCACACGATGAAGAATTTTTGTGATTTTATGCTCATGAAAGTGATCAGGAACCTCAAGCATATACTCTTCAATTGCATCCTTTATTTCATATGCTAAATCACGTACTTGTTTCACCTGATCCTTGAAGCCTTCAGTGACTTCTCTTATTTCTTCTGTATCCTTCAAGTAGGCTTGCATCGTGTTTAGACACTTTTTTATGGAATCAAAATCAGTGACGGTGGCCTGTTCCTTGCGCTGGGAATTTGCTAGAAAACCGTTAATGAGCCTATTGATTATGGATATTGCGGCTCCAACTGCTATCTCTGCCATTTTTCTATCTCTGCCTTGAATTTGCCTGGCATTTTAACTCCAGTAGTACTGTTTTTACGCCTTCAGTTTACTTGGTCCGCCATTTAACTCTGTGTCTACCGTGATGTAACTGTGAAACAGTAACCAAATCAAAATTAATTGAGTAAATATAATAAACTAGATTTTATCTTATTTGGCTTTTGATTTCATGCAATCGTTTCCCACTCCAATTGGTACAATACTTTATCAAGAATATACTAAACCCCCTCAAGTTTTTCATAAGTAGGATAAATCCTTTATGGAATCTATAATAACTATGAACCTCCTGGTGTCTGTTGTTTGTTACTAAAAAATACTTATGACGCAGACAAAGAAGTTAAATTTCTATAGTGGCCCTGTTACGATATTACAATAATTATCCTAGTAAAAAAATTATTTTAAAACGCTTAATTCTTAAAATAATACTCTTTCCTCCTTCCCCGTCCCCCATTTTCTCCCACCGCAACCCACCTTTGCAATCGCCACTCCATACTTCATCCACCAAAAAAAATAAAAAAATGTAGATGCATTTTACTCTTATACCCTTGATTCTATTAAAAGTGAACAAAAGGAACCTTAGGGGGTTGACAACAAAAGGTTCAGAGTTATTGTCAGTATCACAGAGGGTTTAATTTAGCAGGACTAGGGTAAATATGGAGGGGTTTAAATTAATCCCATATTTCGGGCATGGCTATGTCGTAATCCGAATGATGAATCAAAGCAGGTGTAGCAGATATTTTCCTTACGTTTCTATCAAGAGAAAATATGGGAGATGAATCATATCAGAAAAGATTCATCTTTAGACGTCTTTGAAGAGTTTGAACCATAAAAAATTCCCAACCAGTTGATTTTTATTTTAAACGAGGAAGCTGTTGGTCTAAACTAGACTTATTGATGTCTCTCCACCATAAATAAAGGATTAAATATTATCTTTTGAATTGTCAAAGAAATAGAGGTTGTAATTAAGTAATTCAAAAAGAAAGAAAATTCAGAAACAAATACTTCTGGTAAACGTGTTTACTTGACCAAGTATTAGGTTCTGCAAATAAATGATCATGTTTTCATTATTTGCGAAGGTAAAAAACGACATTTTTACTATTTTTAATGAGATTGATTGATTGTTATAGTTAATGCCCGTAAAACATGAAAGCCTTATCAAAGATATCAATAAGGAATTGTATTGGAGGTATAAGTTGACACGATGCAAAGTGAATAGATCGAATGAGTGTATTGAAAAGAGTTATGTTATATCAGATTGTATATATATATGACACAGCCCTGCGGATTAAAGTGTCAGAATTCAGAAGATGAGGACTTTGTTGATATTTAGCTAAGTGATAACAAAACACAGTCGTTTTGTGTCTCTGTTAAAGTTGAACGAACTTTCTTCTCCACTTTCTGCTTTTTATCTTTATTTCATTTCAGCTACTGTCTTCACTTAAGTAGCTGCGAAACCCTCATTGTAATTCATTGATTCATTTACTCAATTGAATATAGTAATTGAAGTCAAATTTGTTTCTCATTTTCTTTCAATTAACAAATCTTTCATATTCCAAGAAAGTAGTGGACTGATCCTAAAACTTTTAAAGAGAATTGATCAAGGTTTGCATCTCAAACAAACCAAATATATTATTGACTTACTTGCTAAAACAAGAATGGCTGATGCACACCCTTGTCCAACACCTCTTGCTGTTGGTACCAAACTGTTTTCTGGAGACAGTGCATGCTTTCAAGATCCTACTTTGTATAGGAGCACAGTTGGTGCCTTGTTAACAAACTTAGTCAATATTTGCAAGCTCCCACAGAAATTCAATGGTAAACTTGTAAAATAGTCCTTAGATATCTCAAAGGGACTTCAAATCATGGTATTCAATTTAGACCAGCAGCATCAATGAGTGTTGAATGCTATGCTGATGCAGATTGTGGAAGTAACATTGATGATAGGAGGTCAACTAGTGGATTTTGCATTTTCTTAGATCCAAATCTGATTCAATAGAGTTCTAGAAAGCAAAGGGTTTTTGCTTTGTCATCAACCGAAGCTGAATATAGAGCTCTAGCCAATACAACAACTGAAGTTTCCTGGTTAAAAAGTCTTTTCTCAGACTTAGGCTTAAGTTTTCCAAAGTCCCCTATCATATGGTGTAACAATCTTAGTGCAGGAGCCCTAGCATCTAATCCTGTATTTCATGCTAGAATTAAACATATTAAAGTAGATGTCCATTACATAAGAGATCAAGTTTTAGCCAAGCAGATTCTTGTTGTTGAGAAGGAAAGGTCAATGATACCTGGTCATTCATTGACAAATATATTGTATTAATTGTATATTTGTTTAATTGCCTTTCATACTTAGACTACCTAGAATAGATTAGCATGATTGTAGGACATATTTGTTTTGTTGTCTTTTATATGTAGACTACCTAGAGTAGACTAGCATGATTGTAGGAAAACTTTTGTAGAAAGCCGAGCCTCCTAATTCAATAAAATACAATTTAAAAGAAAATATTTTTCTCTTCTTTTCACTTGTTCAATATGTACCTACTAAGCTGCAAATTGCAGATGTCTTAACAAAAGCTCTCTCCACTGCTCAGTTTCTTGAGTTAAAGGCTAAACTTAATGTTGTTGATCTACACTTTTCCAATTAAAGGGTTATCTAAATTGTTCAGATGTGGTGGTACCTGCAATGTCAAAAGTTTTGTTTTTTTTTTCTGCTCCAATTTGATGACAATCTGCAGTGCTCATTTCTGCTTCAATTTGACGGCAATCTGCAGTGCTCTAATATGGTGCTTTCTGATTGATTGATAAACTGTTGTTCTTATGATTAGAATTATTCTGCTTCAGTGGTGTATGATTAGAAGTGTTCTGCTTCAGTGGTGTATGATTAGAAGTGTGTTCTGCTTCAGTGGTGACTGCCATGTAGTTTTATGGATTATGGATTGTGTGTGTGGGAATACTGATGTTGAAAGGATTTTTTTTTTTTTTTTTTTTTTTGTGTTGAATTTTATATGCCAATGTTGCAAGTTGTTGTGTGAGCTGAAGGCTGCTGTGTGTGTTGATTCTTTTGGAAAATGGTGAATTAGTATATGCTGGAGGTTGTTGTGTAAACTGCAGGTTGATTGTGGAATCTGTCGGCAGTTTTATGCAGTTTTATGATTTCTGGAGATTGTTGTGTAAACTGCAGGTTGATTGTGTGATGATTTGTTTGTGAAATAGTGAGTCGGTAAAGTTTATTGGTGTGAAATCTGTCGACAGTTTTATGATTTCTGAAGATTGTTGTGTAAACTGCAAGTTGATTGTGTGATGATTTGTTTGTGAAATAGTGAGTTGGTAAAGTGTATTGGTGGTGAAATCTGTCGGCAGTTTTGTGATTTTTGGTGAAATGCTATCTTCTATAGTCTTGTAGTGGTGCAGTTTTCTGGTAGTACAATGGTGTTTGCAGTCTTACAGTTTACATCTTTGTGGACTACATTAACAGTGGAGTACTGATGAAAAACTGCTATTTGTAGTTTTATAGTTTGCAGTTTTGTGGTTTACGATTGAATTATATGAAGAATGGAAATGGTGAATGTAATCTGATAAAGACATGGTCTGCTGAAGTTGGTGAAGACATGACCTACTGCTGACTGCTATTTGCAGTTTTATGGTTTGCAGTTTTGTGGTTTATGACTGAATTATATGAAGAATGGAAATGGTGAACGTAATCTGATAAAGACATGATCTGCTGAAGTTGGTGAAGACATGACCTACTGCTGCTGAAGTTTTATTTTGAAGAAGATTCATATTTTAGTGGGCATGTGAATTAAAGTGTCAGAATTCAGAAATTTGGACTAGGGAGTTCATTTTTGAGAGGGCATGTGGATTAAAGTGTCAGAATTCAGAAGATGAGGACTTAGTTGATAATTAGCTAAGTGATAACAAAACACAGTCGTTTTGTGTCCCTCTTAAAGTTGAACGAACTTTCTTCTCCACTTTCCCCCTTTTCTCTTTACTTCATTTCAGCTACTATTTTCACTTAAGTAGCTGCGAAACGCTCATTGTAATTAATTGATTCATTTACTCAATTGAATATAGTAATTGAAGTCAAATTTGTTTCTTATTTTCTTTCAATTAACAAATCTTTCAAGCCCGTCAAATAACATTCTATTTTAGGCCTTTGCACAAGATTTCTTTGTCTAAAATGTATCTACTAAGTTGAAGGGACTCAAGACTTATTAATAACCATGAATCTCATTTGTTTTGCAACGCCGGACGTTAAGGTTTGATAACCAAAGTTCCATGTTAAATTTTAGGTCGTGTAGTCAGGAGAAGGCGGCAAAGAGTGTGAATAGACCCATTCAATTTTTGAAGCTACCAGCAACTACTTGTGCATTGATAACATCTAATGACTTATGTGATTGCAAACGTGGAAGCCACAAATTTTGTAAGGGGTTTGTTAGGAGGGGTCAAAAGAAAAGAGGAGACCTTGTTTTTGATTGGAAAGGTTTTCACAATCGATGTTACAGGTATACTTTCTTTAATTTTTAGTGTAACGTCATCCATCTCTTGATCAATATAAATTCACAACCACTCACTAATTTTCTTTTTTCTTGAAGTAAAAAAAGGATTGTAATTGTTGAAGAGAGTGAAAATAGTGCAAGAGAGAAAAACAGGATTATATCAAGAATATTCCTAAACCCCCTCAAGTTTTTCATAAATAAAATAAATACTTTTTGGAATCCATAATAACTATGAACCCCCTGCTGTCTGTTGTTTGTTACTAAAGAATACTTATGACGCAGACAAAGAAGTTAAATTTCTATATTGGCCCTGTTACGATATTGCAATAATTATCCTAGTCAAATTTTTTTTGAAAAAGTTTTAACACTTAAAATAATACTTTCTCCTCCTTCACCCTTCCCCATTTTCTCCCACCGCAACCCACCTTTCCAATCTCCACTCCATACTTCATCCACCCTAAAAAATAGAACTATGAAATTCATCCACCA